TATATCCAAAAATCTGTTTCAGAAAATGCTCACATTTCAGTTCTAGGGGTGGAAAAATACAAAAAATTTTCTGGGGGAGAATCTCCGGACCCCCTACTAATACATACGATACCACACCAAGCTTTTTGTCACCAACAACCATCTGTCATCTCTCCACACTCAATATAGTATGGTCCCTTTTTGTAGATGCCCACCCCTGAGCAGGGAAATTTTGAAAATTTTGAGTCTCTAGATCTTGGAAATAGCATTTTCAGAGTCGTCTTTTTTGCTATTTGTGATTATAGAAATCAGAACTCTAGGGCAGGGGGAATTAATGCATTAGAACCATGTTTTTGCAAAGTCCCGGGGGTGTACCCCCAGGGCAGGCCATTGATATGTGCATTATATACAAGTAGTAATCGAGTTGAAATATTATATAATAGTAATAAATTATAGTATATTTCAATATATGAATGTATGGTACAGTACAAGTGTTTCATTAAAATTTTGAAAAATGCCTCACCTGTAGTGCTTTTCAGCTTTTGTTGTTTATTTATTAACATATGGAAACAGAATCACCATTGATAGTCCTCGAAATTTCAAAAGTTTGTTTCCCATCATGACAATTATTTCAATTTTTCGTTAATTTAGTAATTCATTACTCATTTTCTACGGCTCCACACAAAATACTGTAGGTCTGCACCTACCGATACTCCAAAAGCATACATGCGACATGGGCAAAAATACCACCATTCGTTCAGCTCATTTATATTATCTGTTTGGATCATCATTTATACATTTCACAGCAGAAATTGTGGAGATAGTCGCTCGAATGAATTAAAGCTCCAGCTTGAACATGATAGTAGTTGGTAAAGTTCAGAAGAAACCTTTTACACCTATATGTAACTAATATTTTACTAATTTCAAATACTCCTTTTTTAAAAATTATAAAAATCGGTGGCTCTCTGGTCAGGGGGGAGTGGGAAATGTCGCCCGCACGCATTTGAGCTGTGGTCAGTTAACATACCATGAGAATAGTGGACGCGGAGCTCGAAATCCGCCATGTTTTTGCGGACACTTTTCATTTGCGAGCACGATCTCCAGATATATATAGTAGAGCTCAGTGGTTTGGATGGCCTGATCCAAACACGGCTTTCGACCAATCAGAATACGCGTTATATACATGTTATTTTATAATACACTATAATATCCATTACATAACGTTTACTGTGGTGCGCGAAACATGGAACGATTAGCACTTTTTTCCATCCAGCAAACCGCCCTATCGATTTTGTAAAGTCGTTTCTTTTTGGATTTTTTTTATTAATTCGGTTAGGGTTAGGGTTAGGGTTAGGGTTAGGGTTAGGGTTAGGGTTGAGGTTAGGGATTAGAGTAGGGGTAGGGTTTGGGTGGTTTGGGTTAGTTACATAGCCATTATTTAACACCTCTTCCATCTTCCGAAAATGACGTCAGGTCAGTTTGCTGGATGGAAAATAGTGCTATAAACCGCGCATTTGTGGCATATTTTCGTAGTTTTACGATATCACATTGTAGCCGAGTGTGAGCATTGAAATATTTTTATACAAATTTTGTCAAAATGGTTCGCAACCGAATGACTCTCATACTCATTTGCTTAACAGTCGTACAACTCGTTCTGTTAATTACAATAAATTTCCTTGCAAGCGAGAACTCGCAACTGAAAAGAACTATCGAAATTATGGCCTCGGAGGCTAAAGGCAACAATGGAACAGCAACGTCTTCTGAAGCCGTGGGCACGAACAAAAACGAGAACAAAAACCCACGACAATTTGTGCCGTCAGAGGTCACTATTTTGTTGCTGAAACGTGAGACTTCGTCGTTTGAAACGAAACTCAAGAAAATGAAACGTTTGTTTCCTTCGTCGCCTATCAAATGGGACGGTAAGCCAGGCAACATGGGACAGTCATTGAATCGCATGATTGAAGAGGTTCAAACTACATATTTTATGGTTTTGGAAGCCGATGTATCGCTCTCTGACAAAACCAACGAAGGAATAGCTACACTATGGGATGCTTTGGAACGCTTTCCTGAGATCGATTTCATTGGAGGGTCATATTTGTCTGACGATAAATTGCATGTAGCTTGTCAACGTTATAGGCTTTGCAAATGGACATATTCCGAAAGCTTCGAGTACAAGCGTTCGCTTGATAACATTATGATCTGTGATGGAACGTCTGCGTCGTTTATGGGAAGAACGAAAAGCATGGCAAAAGTACAAGATGGCTTTGATGCAAATATATCGGACATATTAGTCATGAAGGATTTCTTTGTTCGAGCAAAGGCTACCAATGTAATTGTGGCAACTAGGCCAAGTTTCATATTGTTGCTTGATGGATTCAAGAGTTTGTATGAAAAGTGGCAGTCACATGACATAACCAAGGATTTAGTTTCATTTGCAATTAAATATAAGATATTCATTTTCAAGGATGAAGAAGGAAACATCGTCGATTTGTGTAGTTCAACTAGCCCACTCAGTGGAAAAGATGTTTGTATTGAAAACAATGCACACAAACTTATGCTTAATAATGGACACTGGGCTTACCAGGGATTGTATACCTACCCATTTTTACTGGGATACCTGAAAGTTTCATTAAGGGAGGTTACTAATTTTTTTGAAAAGCGTAATGTAAATTATGTACTTAAAGGCGGAGTCTCTTTGGGAGCAGTAAAAATGCATTCAATTTTACCATGGGATGCCGGCGACGTTGATATTATTGTGTATGGTATGAGTGTGGCACAGTTACTGAATTTATTGCGACCATGGGCGACTGAGATGGGTTATGTCTTGCGGGAACATAGTGAAAGTGAAGCTGTCCATATTTTTTGTACACCTAAAGCAATCGGAGATGTTGCTGGTGGGTTGGCATCAATATTTCCCACTCGTGATCCCCCACCAAAATACATTAGAATTAAAACAAATGGCATGTGGGTTAGATATCCTAGAAATCTTTTTCAGGTTATCATGAACTTTTATGGTCATGGATATCTAGAGCATAAAATGTATAGAAAGAATGATGCCATCCATTGTAAGATAAAAGGTCACAATGCCTGCCTGCCTAACTTCAAGTCATTATTTAATGGTAAAGGTGGAACATACCAAGAGTATTTTTGTGAAATTTAAAATTTTATTGATGTGCTCTACAGAGTTTTCAAAACAAGTTTCAAGGTACTAATGTGCATGTCATACGAGGTGTGCAAGCCATACCAGTGAGTCATGTGAGCCAGGACTGTGAACCATGCAAGTTGCATAATGTGAGGCATGAGAGCCATGAAAGAATACCTGCAAGCAATAGCTGAACTTTTAGTTATTATGCCATATAATTTATACAAATCTTGGAAAATCAACCAAAATTTTCATCTGAACTCTCCTTTGGGGGCAGATGAAATCTTAGTATGATTAGTAACAAATTTTGTTGCACACAGAGGTTGAATGTCATAGATTGCAAGTGATGGGTCAAGGTTGCCAATCACAGGTGTCTGGTTAATATACACCTGCTACAACAGAATGCAGAATTCCTGCACCATGTGATTTTCAACCTGTGATCTACAGTATGATTGGCAGGCAAGCTGTGACTTGTCACTTGTAATCTGCAACTGTGACCCGAGTTTTAGACCACAGTTGTGCAACACAACCTGTCATTTGGGCCTGGCCTCACTGTCCTCATTGCTGTTGTTGCAAAAATGTTTTTCTTTACAATAAGTACTCCAATGAAGTATAAAACACTGAAGTATAACTACGATGCCACTAAAAAATCATTGTTGCAAATTGTTCCATGTAACATTGCCTTTTACTGTGCATAGACCCCTTTCATGATGACGTCACATAATTACAATCTCACACCAATCTTAGAGTAAACAGCAAGTATGTGACTGGTCACGTGACCAGAAGAAATATTTATTTATGCTCAAAATTTCTTCTAAGAGCAAATATTTTCACCAAAATGACAAAGATGAAAGAGCACTCAAATAAATGATTAGGTGTTCAGGGTTCGAAATAACGATTCGTGAATCACGAATCAATTTTCATTTTTCACGAACCCAATTTCATAGAAATTGATCAAAATCACGAATCAAAAGTCTCTTAAATTGATAAAAATATACAATAATAAATTCAGTTCTTTGTAAATGTGATGAAGGATAATATATTCTGAAGATATTGTTGTTAGATTGTACTTAAAAACGATTATAATTCCACCCAAAATTCTATTTCTTTGCGAGTTTGCGATGTATATTATATTATATTTGAAAATTGCAGTGCTTCAACTTTTAAACTTCCAATTAGAGAATATTCCTTGAAAATTCCTTAAAATTTCCTTAAAATAAAAAAATTAATTCACGAACCATTTTTTCATAATTATTTCGAACCCTGGTGTTGAGCATACCAAGTTTCATCGTTTTCATCATCGTGACCAGGGGGTCACATGATCTGCAAATATCTAGCAGATTTTTAATTGGTGATGAATGATGTTGACAAATATTTATCATCATCATCAATTAAAAATCTGCTAGATTTTAGCAGATCACGTGACCAGCTCCTACCAGGGTCTTTCCTCCAGAAGAGGAGTGCTTCCGTGCAAACCCCTGTCGTTAATGACTGCTCCCTAAGCCCATTTTCCACTAGGTGAATTTTTTCGCACAAACAGTATATAGTAAAAAAGTAGGAACTGATACAACTTTTTTGCAGCGAATATTTTTGCTGACCAGTCACATTTGCCAAGATTTGTTTTTCTCTATTAACTTCCTATCAAATCCACTATCTGGTCACACTGTGCCAAACATTGGGCTCTCTGTGGATGCCATATTGTTCTTCACATATTAGCAATTTAGCCAATCAGAATTGAGCATTCAAATTCCACATAGTTTTGATTTTGAAAGTTTGAAACTGCTGCACGTTTGATATTTGTGGCACAGACTGTGGCTTGATATTTTATTGAAGCTGTTTTCATTTGGATATATTCACTATATAGATTCGCTACTTCTTATACATACAAATAAAAGAAATAGGTTTGTAAATATACTTCGTTTTGCTGGATATATTAAAAGTGCCATTGGGCACGTCCGCACGTGTATACGATGAAATTGGTTTTGAAATTGATTTCGTTGTTTATGTTTTTCAATGTTTGCCAGGAGTCGGAATAGAGTTTATATTTCCCTACGAAGTTTGCTGGATTTGAACATGAATGGACGAAGGTATCGGCGGTCACCTGACAGAACAAAGAAATCGGTGAAAGAAAACGTAGCATTGCCTGAAGCAAGTGAGATACTGTCATATCGAGATAAATCGTTAGACATGAGGTAAATTTATGGTTTACTTGTTTTAGGGGCTGTTATTTATACGGAAGCTGGGCTGGCCCGCTTAGCGAGACAGCCCGGTAAGCGGGATGAATTTCAGTTGTGTATATATGAGAAATTTCATCCCGCTTGGCGGGACAATTTTGTTGTTTTGACAGTTGTTAAAAATAACTTGCGGCAGCATCTTTGAACTTTTATCCCAGCAACCAGGCTAGCTTGCTTGTGAGTGTTTATAAGGAGAAATTTTCATCCTGGTAAGCAAGTCGTCTTGCCAACTGGGGCAGCCTGATTGTCCATATACAATTTTAAAAACGTATATTAGTAATTTCTACGATAAACATATAAACTACACAGCGAGATCTTGCTTTACCGGGCTGTCTCGCTAAGTGGGCCAGCCTGACTTCCATATAAACAGCCCCTTAGGGACTGTTTAACCCTTTAAGTGGCAATGCACCCAGATGCGCCCTACTTTATTAATTACTCTGTCTAATGCCAGACGATTTTACTCATCAGGGGGAGAGTGCTGCCATGCACCCAGTAGGTTAATCAGACTATCTGCCAGTGCACCCTGTTAACCTTTAAAGGAGCAGTGTCACCTGGTGCGCATCTTTTCCGTAGCGCACCAGGTGACACTGTTCCTTTAAGTAGCAATGCACCCTACTTTATTATTTTACTCTGTCTAATGCCAGATGATTTTACTCATCAGGGGGAGAGTGCATGCTGCCACTCAATGGGTTAATATATGATCGCTGCTATGTGGGACAGGACAATTACTGTGATCTCACTTGTGATATGAACTATGTTGAATGTTTATATGATCCTGCTTCCATTCTGGTTTGGTGGGGTCGCATACCTACTAAGTCTCACGCATTATGCGTGTGACACACGCCTCAGCATATTTTCTCATGCTCACATGCGCAGTATTATTTATCTCACGCATGCCAGCTTGGCTGCTTGTGATTGACGAGTTTAATAAAAAAAAACACGTTAAATCTGGAGGGCAATGTAAACTTTGGAAACTTGTGAAATGTTTTAGCATTTTATCATGTGAATTTGCTGTCAACACCTCATTTGATGCCATAAATTTGCCTATTTCCCGTGCGTAAATGCTATCTGATTACACTATCCAAGGTGCAGCAATCGTGAATAAATCGTGTCTTGGGAATGGAACGCTGGAAATTCCATATCAGAGACCCAAATTTTTAAAATTTTCGGGGGGGGGCATTAGATTGCGTCCGTGGATGGCGTCTCACGCATGCAGATCACTCCGCCTTGGCAGCTATGGGGTCGCAAACCAGGACAAGAAATTCCCATATAATAAATATTCTATTCTGGCTAGCTATGCTATTGCTGCCACAAAATATGGATGGCTTCACCCTGATATTCAATAGACCATACATAAGATCGCAGGGTTGAAATTAATGATCTGAATACACCCTTCTGTAAAGTACGTCACAGACTTTGGCTATAAACTGCCTCATTTTCATGTACGCAACATTAGGTAAAGCATATAACATGTCAATCACAAAAATAAGGCTCCATGGCCAAGATGACATATTTTACAGAAGCATGTATTATTTAACAGTCTACAAATGGCAATTCATCATCAGATGTAAAAATTAAAGTAGTTTTGTAGGCCAAAAAATTACCAGTGAGGCTAATTCAATCGGAATTGATATATGTTTGCTTTTATTTAGTGTGCGACTGGAATTTTGGAGAGCAGGAAAGAGGTACGGTGACTAGACTGTGCAATATTATAATTATATTTATGTGTTTTAGACCTGTGTCGTACGTGGTCCATTGAGTCCTAGACTTGTTTTAACAGCAAATAAATTTAACAATTAGCCATTCCGGAGTTGATGAGAGGACTGGGGACAAATGTTAAAAAGTGTCCAAATTAAGAAATGAACCAAATCACTAAAACGACCACCTCAGAATTAGTAAGTGTACAAAGTTTGAAGACATTTGCCTGAATACCCTCCGAATAATAAGCTTTCGAAAATCGCGATATTTGCTTAGTATGAAATGTACTGTAATTTTTGTTTTTGATTATGTCTTCAAACTTTGTATATAAATTTGGAATAACATGATATATTAACCGTTTTTAATTATTGTATGACTGGTGTACAAGCATAGACGGATTTTGTGGGGGGTGCAGGGGGGTGCTACCCCCCCCAATATTAGCTATAACCCCCCCAAACAAAATGTCCACCCCTCCAAAAAAATTTTCAACCCCCCCAATATTCGGCATAATAAAAAATAATTAAATAGTCCACTCCAACGTGCAGAGTGTTGATGATACAAAATAAACGTAGGAGTACACTCAAATAGAAAAAGACAGTGCAATACTCTGAAACTAATCGCTCCTCGCTTGCAATTCACTGGTTTATTTGGAGCAATTGTAAAGTTTTAAAACTCTATTCAAAAACTCATTAATAATTCAGGAGGAAAACACAAAGAAAAATCATAAGCGTGTCGTGGTTTTATATGTGATAAAAAATCATGTTAATTTACATAAACTTTAGCTTTGATTTTCTCGGTTTAGACAAAGTTTATTTTAAAAATTACTTCGCCAATGAACTCGTATAAGATGAGTCGTTTTTGAAGCCATTTAAAGCACTTGTAGTCGTGTTTTATCACATATAAAACACTCCGCTACGCGTCGTGTTTTATATGTGATAAAACACTCCTACGCATGCTTTAAATAGTACTTATCTCTCCTGAATAGAGTTTGCAGTGCCTTGTCATGCAAATAGCTTGCTTGCAAGGAACGTTTGGAATTTTTACGAAGTTCAACATTATTTTTAGTTTTTAATTCTTTTAGGAAATAGACTTGCCTAGATTTTATCTTTACGCCCCAAATATTATTTACATCGGAGTTGCATCATAAATTGTACTCGGATTCAAACGACACAATGTCAATGACTTTATAAAAGTAAAAGCATATTGTGTATTGGCCTATTGGGTTTACACTTTTACAGGTTCATTTAACTTTAACTCTCTCAAGTCTCAACAGACAATCGGACATGCCAAATCCATTGATATGACAACTTCAAAAAACTTTTTCGAAGCTAGAAATCATGATTTTTTCAAATTTTTCCTGGGATACTTTGTTTTCTGCTCTCTAGACTCCCCCTCGCGGCTCTATAGTGCTCCACCCCTAGAATATAGACCTTACTGGGGTTTGGTGACACTTTGTGTTGCTTCAGTCACCTGCTCACGGCTCACCCCCCTAACATTTCTGGCAC